TGAGAGTGATATAGAAATACCACTGTTAAAATAGTGCTGAATACATCAATTGTAGAGCAATATAGAAATACCACTGTTAAAATAGTGCTCAATACATCAATTGTAGAGCAATATAGAAATACCACTGTTAAAATAGTGCTCAATACATCAATTGTAGAGTGATATAGAATTACCACTGTTAAAATAGTGCTCAATACATCAATTGTAGAGCAATATAGAAATACCACTGTTAAAATAGTGCTCAATACATCAATTGTAGAGCAATATAGAAATACCACTGTTAAAATAGTGCTCTATACATCAAGTGTAGAACAATAAAGAAATACCACTGTTAAAATAGTGCTCTATACATCAAGTGTAGAACAATAAAGAAATACCACTGTTAAAATAGTGCTCAATACATCAATTGTAGAGCAATATAGAAATACCACTGTTAAAATAGTGCTCAATACATCAATTGTAGAGTGATATAGAAATACCACTGTTAAAATAGTGCTCTATACATCAATTGTAGAACAATAAAGAAATACCAATGTTAAAATAGTGCTCAATACATCAATTGTAGAGTGATATAGAAATACCACTGTTAAAATAGTGCTCAATACATCAATTGTAGAGTGATATAGAAATACCACTGTTAAAATAGTGCTCAATACATCAATTGTAGAGTGATATAGAAATACCACTGTTAAAATAGTGATCAATACATCAATTGTAGAGTGATATAGAAATACCACTGTTAAAATAGTGCTCAATACATCAATTGTAGAGTGATATAGAAATACCACTGTTAAAATAGTGCTCAATACATCAATTGTAGAACAATAAAGAAATACCACTGTTAAAATAGTGCTCAATACATCAATTGTAGAGTGATATAGAAATACCACTGTTAAAATAGTGCTCAATACATCAATTATAGAGCAATATAGAAATACCACTGTTAAAATAGTGCTCAATACATCAATTGTAGAACAATAAAGAAATACCACTGTTAAAATAGTGCTCAATACATCAGTTGAAGAGAGGAATATTAAATGATTTACTATAAACATCACTATACCTGTACTGTCTTGTTGTTTGTAGTTGATCGTTTAATTGGTTGATTTCCCACTATATCATACATTGTAGTCTGACCAACTGTAATACTCTACAAAATAAAATAAGTAAATAATATAAGAATATTTGACAGCAAGGTTGTAGATGTCCCAAATTCAACCATTTGAGTGTTTATTAGCTGCTATCCTTTTAAACAAGAAAGTTTTAAGCCAATTCAATACATATTTGTAAATTATGGATTTAGAAGCTTTTCATAGCTTTTAATACCTCTAAAGACTGTTTCAATATATTCAAGACCCAAATCAACCCCTGTAAATGGTGAACCGTGGCCTTATATATATCTTAAGTGAGTAAAAACATAGCGAAAGCAGAGAGCAATTTAAAGAGCTTACTCTATTCATAACAGGTCTTGGTTTTTTCTCTGCTGGTTGTAACAATCTAGAGGTCGATGGTGAAAGAGGTCGTTTTCCTAGTGTATTATGACACCCAGGTGGCAGCAGAGTCACAGGCTGAAAATTAGAAAAAATGGAAGGGTTTATTGGTACAAAGCACAAGCACCTGTTTCTATCAATAGATGACTCTCTCTATAGTATATATATGAGATACTATTATAGATAAAGTCTACTATTGATAGAAACAGGTGCCTGTGGTCCAAAGCCTGAAACAATGCACTGAAAAGTCAATTAATCTCAATGATCCTTTTGCTCACCATCTTCACAATGTCAAACTATTACAAACTTGGTCTTATACCTTGACTGCAACAGACACCTTTCTTGTATCATTGAAGATTGCATCGATTTAATTGGATTGTATGTTGTCAATTACAGCATATCCAAAACAAAAATAGCAATATGTTACCTGTATAACTTTACCATTAACACCACAGGCTATTCCTCTCGTCCAATCATCATCATTTATATCTTTTAATCCAGTCATCTGATTGGCTACTTCTGTATCTTCTGCATTCTCATTGGTTGAGGTATGTTTATATATTTGATTGGTTCCATCGTCTCTTTTCTGATTGACTTGATCAGAAGTCTGAATTTGATTGGTTGTTGGGCCTGATCTTGAATTCTGATCGGTGGGGCCAGCTGAACCAGATTGATTTTGAGTTGGTAGAATTTCGTCTAAAAGGTCATCAGTGAGGTCAAATCTACCAACATCCAATGATGGCTCTGTTGCTAGGGAGTTATCTCCCTTGCCTTCCTCATTTGATGCATGTCTAAAATTGGTACCTTGAGTATTGATTTCATTTTTCAGAACTGACTCATCAAAAGAATCACTGAATTCCAAAGAACAATCTCCAGTCGTTGGTGGTCTTAAAGCAGACGTATTTGAAACATGTTTTAAAAATGAAGAACTTGTGTCCATTTCAGAAGTAACTACCAACAGATTTGAGCTGACATTTTGTAAACTGACATTTTCTTCAGTATGATTTTCTGTTTCTCCATTTCTTACATTTTTTTCTGTTTCTGAAGAAATTGTAAGATCTAGTCCGTCGCCATCTTTATTTACATTAGAGTTTACCTTATTATTTATATCCTCACTTTCTACTCCTGTCCTTGCATGCCTATTAATAGTAACTGTCTCACTTGTACTACTTTCAATTTGCACTGTTGAAGAGTCATCAGTATTATTTTTGTCTTCCAAGCCATTTTTGCTACTTTCATTCGAATTTTCATCCAGTTTTTCAGAGTTTCTGTTAAATTGAATAAGTTGATTCTGAGAAGAAACATTTCTAATTTCCATCAATTCCTCTGACTTTTTCTCTTCTGGTTGTTTTTTCCAATATGGAGGTGAATCTAAAGGACCATAATTATATTCTAATAATTCGGTTAGACGTTTCTTGCAAACATCCTGAAAATAAAAAACTAAATTTTCCAAAATCTAATGCGACTATGTTTAATATGAAAGTGTGAGGTAGGAAGTGATAAATAAGGTGTTATTGAGCTCAATATTGGCTGTAGCTATTACTTTTCAGATTGAAAAATCCAACAACAGAAATTCAACAGAGGAATTGTAAAGATGTTTTCTTAACTTTTTATGTGACTCGGGGACAATGATAGCATCAATTTGCACCTATTTTCAATCAGACATATATGGTTCTAGCAATTCTAGCAAAAGTCTTTTGTGATACAAGCAAATTATGCAGGGGCTTTAATGGAACCAAAGACTTCTGATTGAAAATTGGAATGGTGCTTTAATATGAAGGCTTGGGGAGGAAAACTTTAAACAACTATTTCCCTTTTAATATTAGAAATATTAAAACAGAACCTAAAACATGTTATTTATCAAAGTTTCAGACAACTGACTTTTTTCTGCCTGTGTACCTAATACTATAAAGATATATTAATAAAAGACACAATATAAACAGATACTACATCAGAAGCTTACTTACCACATCTTGAAGGTATATATGTGTTTTGTTGGGGTCAAGGTTCACATCCTGTCTGTCAGTAGGAACAGTAATTAATAAATAATACACAGGATATCTGGTAGTGTCACACCCATTACAGTTAGAGTAATACTGACGTACAACCTGTTAATACAATTATACATAATATATTACAATAACAGAACAATTTTGGGTAGAGAATTACACAAAAAAGAAATACTGTAACCATTTTATTTAAAAAAGGAAAGCAAGGATTCCAAAGATACTGTCCATAAGCTCAAACCTTTTGGAATTTATCCTACCCAATGCACTAACCTTATCTAAGTCTGGTAATAAAGAACCCACCTTATCTAAGTCTAGTATTAAAGAACCCGCCTTATCTAAGTCTAGTATTAAAGAATACACTTTATCTAAGTCTGGAATTAAAGAACCCGCCTTATCTAAGTCTAGTATTAAAGAACCCGCCTTATCTAAGTCTGGTATTAAAGAACCCACCATATATGAGTCTGGTATTAAAGAACCCACCTTATCTAAGTCTGGTATTAAAGGACCCACCTTATCTAATTCTGGTATTAAAGAACCCGCCTTATCTAAGTCTGGTATTAAAGAACCCACCATATATAAGTCTGGTATTAAAGAACCCGTCTAGTATTAAGGACCCACCTCCTGGTATTAAAGAACCCACCTTATATAAGTCTGATATTAAAGAACCCACCTTATCTAATTATGGTATTAAAGAACCCACTTTATCTAAGTCTAGTATTAAAGAACCCGCCTTATCTAAGTCTAGTATTAAAGAATACACTTTATCTAAGTCTGGAATTAAAGAACCCGCCTTATCTAAGTCTAGTATTAAAGAACCCGCCTTATCTAAGTCTGGTATTAAAGAACCCACCATATATAAGTCTGGTATTAAAGAACCCACCTTATCTAAGTCTGGTATTAAAGGACCCACCTTATCTAATTCTGGTATTAAAGAACCCGCCTTATCTAAGTCTGGTATTAAAGAACCCACCATATATAAGTCTGGTATTAAAGAACCCGTCTAGTATTAAGGACCCACCTCCTGGTATTAAAGAACCCACCTTATCTAAGTCTGGTATTAAAGAACCCGTCTAGTATTAAAGGACCCATCTTCTGGTATTAAAGAACCCACCTTATCTAAGTCTGGTATTAGAGAACCCACCTTATTTAAGTCTGGTATTAAAGAACCCACCTTATATAAGTCTGGTATTAAAGAACCCACCTTATATAAGTTTGGAATTAAAGAACCCACCTTATATAAGTTTGGTATTAAAGAACCCACCTTATCTAAGTCTGGTATCAATACAGGTCTATTATTGACTGATATAATACTTCTATCACTGCTGGCCCGACTAGTCAATGTGATATCACAGCCTGGTTTGGGTAAATACATCTCTAACTTTATCTGAAAGTACAATATTGTCATTTCATCAGAAATACTATCTTGGTGGGTGCCGTCCACTGTCAGAAATCTCTTATTCTTTCTGTGAACAACTGGCTTTAAGGGCTATTGGCTCATTGTAGGCTTATACATGTAATATAATGGAGAATGTGTACAGAGAAGAAATCCCCTTATCTTTCTGGAGACACCTATCACCCTAACTATATCATTTATTTCAATCTTGAATGATCTAAGAGCAATTGCACTCATTTTTCTGCAAAGCGTACATGTAACTTAAATATTCCTTTCTACTGTCAATGATCTCCGAGTGATTGGACTTATTTCTTTCTGTTAACACCTAGCTTATTTAATTCATTGTTTCCATTTTGAAAGATCTGATAGTCTTTGATCTCAGGGTGTGCTAATACATAATCAAAAAAAACCTACTTCTGTCTCCGTATCAGATTTTTCACAGAAAACCAACAAATTAACTGTCTGATGACCAAATACATTCAATATGGCTGCTCTGGTGTCTGGTTGGGCGTTTTTCTGAAATACTAGCTCTTTATTGTGTCTGAGTGTAATCCTTACATTGGGTTTGACAATACTATACACTCTCAACAAATCTTCAATCTTCTTCAGTTCAACTTTCTTCTTCTTATTGGTATTATGGTACTGTTTTCTGACTGGTAGGTTTTTAAATAGATTCACAGCACATATTGTTGTCCCTTGATTAAAAAAAACATTAACTGGTGTTTATCAAAATGCATAATATTCTTAACAATCTTGACAGTTGTAAATCTGAATATACTCCAGTAATAAAAGGATGACCCTGAGTCAGGTAACAGTGGATCACCCTGAGTCAGGTGACAGTGGACCACCCTGAGTCAGGTGACAGTGGATGACCCTGAGTCAGGTGACAGTGGATCACCCTGAGTCAGGTGACAGTGGATCACCCTGAGTCAGGTGACAGTGGATCACTCTCTAGAATATAACCTAGAGTAAGGTGATGTCTAATGTTTCTAAGAGCTGACAATATTACAACAGTAGACCAATCTCTAGTATATTACCCACAGAACCACTCTCAAGAATATAAACCCAGAGTTAGATGATGTCTGGTGTTTCTATTAACAGACAAAAAAAACAATAGTGGACCCTCTTGAATATAGAGTAAGGTGATGTCTAGTGTTTCTAAGAGTTGACAATAGTAGGACAACAGTGGATCACAGTAAATCACTCTTTTCTTCGATAAACAAAATTGTTATCCTTAATACATAATTTGCTTGTGTGTTTGTTTCTTTCTATCTTTGAATATAACTCAAGTCTAGTGAAAGTTAACAGCTAAACCTAGATCAATTTAAAACTTGTATAAACAGTTACATGAATTAAGTGTGATCCCTCAACCAAAGGCCAGTACAGGTTTCCCCATTGCAATTTCTATTTAATGGTAACAAATGACAGGGCCAGTGGTCACCCATTTTAAAGTACAATTACATACACCGAATCACCTTCAAATGACAACAATCAGTAATAATCCTTTAATTAAAACTTGGAAAGTATAAAATCAATACCTTGTCCAAGATGGGAAGGTAGACTATCTTTAATCTTGCCCTCACCAGTCAGTTTATATTGAATACTAATTTCATCTTGTACTGTTTTAGTTGTGATACTCACTTCACTCACTGAACATAACGATGCTGAAAATTTAACAAAAATATACTGAATGAACTCTCAGATTTATATATAGAAATACGCTATGCAATCCAAACTTGAAAATGCAAGTGCTTTGTAATCTCTACCACAAAATGTTGAGGTTTAACTAAAAGTATAGTTCCATACCTAGAGCCTCTCCCCTGAAACCATAAGTCTGAAGTTGTTGTAGGTCATCATGGCTGGAGATTTTAGAGGTATAATGTCTCTGACCAACAAACTGTATATCATCTGTTTTTATACCATCACCATTATCTTTAATCTCTATCTTATCTAGTCCATAATTCTCCTGAAAAACCAGGTAGTTATTTTACTTTTAGTAAAGGGACAGATGCACCATTTTTGGGACTTGATTTGGGTCTTGATATGAAAATAGTCTTCAGAAGTACTAGAAATGTACAAAAATCGCATAATTTCTTCAAAACTATCTCAAACTAAGAATTTCTTTTCAGTGTTTCAAGAACTGACAACTCGTCTCTTTAACTTTCAAATGCTCGAAATTCTGGACACACATGGATTTGAACGCTCAAATTTCGACGGTGAGCTATAAACTTTATTGATGATTGGCTAAGTTAAAAAATACCCATTTCTGAGACTAAGGTACAATCGGTCAAAAAAAATGGCGCATCTGTCCCTTTAAGACTTTCAACATTTCAACACCAAGTGACATAACATAAACTCAAAGGCCATGATTCATCATTTTTTCAAGAAACATCGACAGAATTAAAGGCCTAGCCTCACAACTTTTAAAAGCCACATACTTGCATAATCGAAATCATACAGTGGTGTAACCTATTTTCGTGGATATAAGGATTCAACACCAAATTTCGTCAAAGTTAAAAAAACGAAATTTTTTTGTGTCTTAGATGTTTCCTCAGATATTCTACAAAATAATTAAAATTGGTTTATGTCGATTTTCTTTATGAATCCTTCACTTTGACCCATATTTCATGAGCAACCAACTAGGCAACGGCGGCAGAATGCGTCACCTATTTTCGTGTACAATGTTTGATCTATAAATAAGTCTAGAAAAACACGTTGTATGGATACCGGGTTGTATAATTAACTTCTCTTAGTATTTATCTTTAATATCAATTCATTATAACTAGTGACAATTCCTTCACAGAACCACGATTTAAAAAAAAAAATAGTGACTGACAAAATAAGATACTGAGCATGATTTATTGCTAAAAGTCACTGAAACAACATAAGAATATGGTCCACTTTGAGTTCCATAGAAATTTTCTGCTGACACGGAATCCGCTAGTTGATCACGTGACTTCATTCGTTGGACTACATTCTAGCAGATGACACTTGGAATTCCGATTACCGCTTGGGGTTATAAGGAAATTCGGCCGATAAAAAATGGTGACGTTTGGTAATAAGTGAAATCCGCCATTTTGTATTTGTCAAAGTATACATTAATACATTTTACCTTGCTGAAACTACTGGATTCATTCTATCAGCTGATATTGTACAGAAAACCCATGTTTATCAAAACAAACTAATGCGGAGGTCGCGCAAGGTCACTCATGTATATTATTAAACATTTCCGGAAATCCACGAATAATAGGTTTCCACGAAATTAGGTTACCTGACTGTATTATTATGCAGAAGGTTGGCTATTCACAGACACCAACAAATAATCAACAAAAATAACCCCAATAAAACGATCTTACCAACTTGACATCCACTGCAATAGCATGGGCATCAAAACAGTTCTCGAGTAATTCTTTCACGACGCTGTAAACTGATGTTATTACTTGAGAACTGCCAATAAGACGAATCGTTGAAGCTGGTAGCGGTGTCAACAAACTTTTGTCCGCCATTTTGATAAGGGAGATAACTCTTTGGGTGGGAATAATTATCAGACATTCCGATTAACATGACGGTCTATCAAAATATTCAATTTTTCGCTGGTTTTGTGTATATAAAAACGATCAACTATCATCATCTGATGACAAATAGATGCTTTCATCATATTTAATAATAAACCTCTCAAAAATGATAATAGTAAGTTTTGCATATGGTCGCCTCCAGACGACATCAACGAAAGCTACCTAACTGAAAGTTGTAGTATTTGCATCTAGTTGTGATTTCATTGTGCTGAAAACGATAATTTCATAGACTGAATTGTTATAGATCCAATACAAGACTTATGAGGTTCAAATGATAAGCCTTGCTCAAGATAATTTGAAAGAATTTGCCGGGGTTTTAATTCTCTTTACAGAAATATAACAATTTAGGTTCACGAGGGTCCTGTCTACCAGCTTGTTCTTGTCTAAAACATTTGACATTGGTCTTTTTCGGATCATCTGTACCCATTTACGGTTGGGTAGCCAGGAATAATGAGAAAAGATGACTTATTCAAGGTCACCAGACTTTCACACGCCGAACAAGATTTCAACCCACGACCACCATTTGTTCTACAAATCATCTTTTCAGCAATATTCTGCTGTATTTAGAACTCATCTTCACTGTGAATTTCAGAGCAAAAACGATGCAAAAGGAGTCAATGCACTGGTCTTCAGGCGGCGAACAATTTATGTTTGGACAACAATTTGCTGAGTGGGCAAAATTAATAGGAATAACAATTAAAATAGAAAAATACTTTATTTTATTTACAAGAACAATTAACAGAATAAAATAACACACTAAAATAAATAAACAGACAGGAATATTTTTTTCTTGGTGAGGAATATGTACACTGAATTGCTGCCGATTTTGTCCAAAAGATATAATTTGTAAATATTTGCTTTGCCAACTGATAGAGCTCATTGTAGATATCTGTATCGCTTTTTAGTAATGAAATTCGACATCCGGGTCTCTCAGGGTAAACTTTTGTTGAACCGGCATTATTTCGTTACATTATACGTAAAATATTCCAATTTTTGTAACCTTACTAAAGTAGAAGTCGGCGTTGTCGAAAAATCACCGACACCTGATTAGATAATTTCAACAAGGGTTTGAAAAGCATTAAAAATTAAAAACGTAATATAAGATGAAAATGAATATACTATTAGTTATAGAAATATAAAACTATTTTGGCACTTAGTTTCACTTAATAAGTTCACAAGAAAATCAGCGCATACCCCAACTTTAAGGGAATTTGGCATATTAATGTTGGCCTACCGTAAATGTCAACCAACCTAAAGAGCCATACCAGAAAAAAATTAGCTTACGGGCAGAAACAGGGTCTATACAATAGCTAGAAAATGTTTAGTTGGTGTTATTTTAGAGAACAACTTTACAATGTCAAGCTATATCTATTTTCGTCTTAAACCTTGACTGCCATTACCACCATGATTGGCTGTATTCGCTGATACAATCTAATCAAATTGCTGCATACTTTGACATGAATGTGGCTATTGTAGTCTAGGTATAAAACGTAAACGTAATAGCTTAACATTGTGAAGATGTACAGAGAATAGATATTAACCAGTTTCTACAAGTTTACTAGATACGAGAATTCGGACTTTAACGACCGAAGGAACAGACCAAAGACATTCTTCATTATAAAGTTGATATCACGGATTCTTTCATTAATAATCGAGCTCAGTGGTTTCAGTTCATTCGTGGAGTAGCTCATGTTAATTCTGATGTTGTTTACATGATAAATATAGTAATACAAAATATCACATTGCTCAAAAAAAATTTTCTAGACCTTGAATGTGCTTCGACACATGGTTCCTGAAATTCCAGAACACTTTCCACATCATGACGTCACCGTCGCAAATACCATCACATACAACTAGTCAACTTTGTCTGGAACTATAGTCACCATGGAAATTAGCCAGAATTGGAATGGTGCAAAAAAAGGGAAAAAACATGTAGAAGTCTAAGTGTTTCACATTCAAAGGGAAGAAAAATATCCTTTTTAACTGTCCACGTCCCCGGATGTACATGAATATCTTTGTTTGAATAAACATAAATAATCGCCTACAGCATAGAAAAATATCAAAGCAATACTTCAGATTATCGTTTGGTTTTCTCTAATATTGAGATTAAAGTTATACTATACAGAACCATAAGAAAATACCAGATTGTTTGAGCACTTGATCTTGCTGAAATGAAAAAAATATAAAGAACTTAGTGGCGTCTCTACATGGCCCCCTTGAGAAGAGGCTGGCCCGGCTTCGTCAATGAAATCCTCGCTACACCAGTTAATGGCACTATGACTAATTTAAGAAATAATTCGATGTTTAAAGTTGAATTATAGATGAATTACTAATCGCTTTGCAGAATAATGGAAACCTTAAAGAACTTGGCATCAATTCCTTCATTATTCATCTATTTTCAAGTGTAGAGCCTGTTTCAAACGTGCCTCAGTCATCAAAATTAGATTACACTTAGACTTAAGTCTACATTATAATCCAGCAAGTTTTCTACCAAAGGTTCGCCCCAATGATGTTATTTGTAACCAATCAAAGCGTGTCATGCAAAACCCAAATCGTGATAAAATAAGGAATTGAGGGATAGTGAAACCCAAAGAGGCTGTCTTACGTTAGGTTTCGATATCCCCCCATTCCTAATTTTATCAAGAAATGGTTTTACATGACATGCTTTGATTGATTAAAATACATGTATTAGGTTTTGGGATGGACGTTTGGTAAAAAAAAACTATTTAGATTTTTGTAATTGATGGATAGTTGTTTGCCGAGTGATTAGGTGAGTTTGAACCAATATCAGATGAAAACATATTTACATGTCCAAAAAATACCTTCTAGATACCTTCTAACTAAAGCCTACTTCCGTCTTGGACTCTTTGTATACTATATAAATAGCAAACAATACCAAAATAGCCTGAAAATACAAATAGTTTATGTTTATATTACTCTTCTATGGAATATACAATCGTTTCCATATTCAATAATATTGAAATATAATAAGAGAAGAACTTACAATTCGACATAATCTAAGCGTTTTATGACGGCACTCTCATCTATGGCCTTCTGTTATTAAAGGGATTGTAAAGAGATTTTCTAAATTTTGTATGTAATAATAACTTTATTTGGCAACCCATTTATACAGAAGTCTAATTTTCAATTTTCGGTGTATAGGGGACACTGATAACATCAATTTGCACCATTCTAATTTTCAATCAGACGTCTGTGGTTTTTAGCAATTCTACTAAAACTAAGAGTTTTATGACATCACCCCCGCAAAGTGATACAAGCAAATTTACAATCCCTTTTATAGCTTTTGCATCAGTGACTTCATAAACCGCTTTGTTTCAGAGGAATTGCAAGCACCACAGACATCCGATTTAAAAATTACAATAGTGGTGTCCTATCTTGACGTCAACGATGATATCCATGTGCCTAATACACATAAAAAGTAATGAAAACTTTAACACAGTCCAGATTCGCCATTTTCGGGGCTGGATTTGGGTCTTGAATATATGCAAATAGCCTCCAAATCGTCATTTTTTTTTTACATTATAATGTGGATAATTCTGGACACACATGGATTTGAATGTTAAAATTTCGACGGTGAGCTGTGATCACTATTACTGATCAGATTAGTAAAATTTCCCGTTTCTGAGACTGAGCTACGATTGGTTAAAAATGGCGAACCTCTCTCTTAGAGATAAACAGAAGAAAAAAAAAGAACGAACCTGTAAAATGATAATAGCCGAACTAATTCCAATCGCCAGATCACTTTCATCATCTATATAGTCCCACAGAGCTTGATAACATCCCTGAAATATATCAGTTTCTCGTTTATAATAGGTCTGGTATGAGCGGGAGGTGGGTACATATCGCGACTCTAACTAACTTCGTGTTTTATGTAGGGCCTCGCAGTGATTCGGGTATCAAGAAGTTAGATTCGAGGTTAGACTGTCTTGAATTTAAATAACGATTCAATCAAATTGACCCCCTGATTTAAAATTATGGGTAAATGGTTGAAATTATATCCATTTTGATTGATGCCAAGTACGGTGGTTCGTATACGACATCATTTATTTTTTCAATTTTGAATTAAAAACTGGGATATAACTAATTATAAAATATAATTAATTTAATTCAAAATTATGTTTTATAATTATGTTCCAGTTTTTTAATTCAAAATTAAAAAAAATATACGAACCACCGTAGTCAAGACTATCCAGGAGCTACTGTAAAATTTTCACTAACTGAGGTCACACAAATTTATAATTTATACAACTGAATACAAAGCGAACTCTCAGATACAGTTAGTCTCAATTGTGAAAACCAATATGAGATGATATTTTAAGAGTTTTACGTCCTACTTTTCTGCACCATGTGGGCTAATGACGACGGAAATGACACGTGGGGTTGTGCTGTTAGTTCTGTGAGTGTCTTGAGTATAGTGAAATAAAAGAATGTTTGCCGAAATATGAATCTACCTTTTCAGCATTGTTCAGTTCTGCATTTTTATAGTCTGGATGCTTAGCGCAGCTATCGTCACTCTTATTCGGGGTTACACAACATACTAACGGTGTTTTCAAGTCTTTGTTAACCCAGCTTCCACTTTCAATACTCGAATTAAAATCTTCGTAATTATTAACTCCACAGCATGAAAGCTAAAATTGAAGAAAAAACCAACAAATAATTACAAATTAGTATTATTTTCCCTATCACGACAGAATGTATAACTTATATACAGTTGTATTAATTTTCCAGACCAACAAATAATCATTTGTCCATACACTATCATCTTCACAATGTCAAAATAAGACATACTGCGTCTCATACTTCTTAGGTAGGTAGATGACAAGTTCTCGTTCTGATCATGGTAGTTCTTGTTGATTGGCAGTCGAATGGTACTCATACTTCTTTGACTCCAGTGGTATTTATACTTGTATCAGAGAAGACTGCGATTTGATTGGATTGTAACCAACGAATACAGCCAATCAAAGCTCCCGACATAAAACTGTAAACATTATGGCTTCAAGACTTTCCCTCGTGTGCTCTGGTGGTATTCGATAGCGTAAGTCCCAATCAAATCGCTGCATTTACAATCTTCTGCGATACAAGAAAGTTGGCTAGAAGATGTAGATGATACACCAGATATTATGGAAGCCGGCTGCGGCCATATCTACTCTCGACGTCTCGCCCACGAGAAAGCGAGGAAACTCGACTTCTCGCCCACGAGAAAGCGAGGAAAAAGGCGAAAAAAAGACGAGAAAAAAGGCGAGGAAAAGGGCGAGAAAGCATGGGTAAAAAAAGACGAGGAAAAGAGCAAGGACAAAGGCGAGAAAGCGAGGAAAAGGGAGAGAAAGCGAGGAAAAAGGCGAGAAAAAAGAAAAGAAAGCGAGGAAAAGGGAGAGAAAGCGAGGAAAAAGGCGAGAAAAAAGAAAAGAAAGAAAGAGAAATAGAGAAAGAAATTGTGATTTGACCAAATGAAATCTCTTAAAAATATTCTTTTTTTGATGTAAAATGTTTTGCTTCGCGAATTTGTGCACGACCTTTGGCGCAATTTTAGTTTGGATTTTTTGTCTTTTCTGACTCAATTCGGGCAGTTCGGGAATTCGGAATTTTACACCCATCGGCTTATAACAACTTATAACACAATGGAATATATTCTGGTATACACGTGTAGATATCTGATGAAATGAAGAACAGGGGTAAACATGAGTTCATTGATTCAAACTCGAAAAAGAGACGCATTTGTTTGTTCCCCATCCCATTTCTCATTCTATTACCAATAATGTGAACAGACCGACTGGCATGGGTACAAAATGTAAAATACCGTATGCATGGAACAACAGCAAAACTCATTAATTTGAAGAAATATGTGTTACTTTTGATTAACATTTCTTTCGAAATAAATTTCGTATGTTTTTTGTCTTTTGAATTCTTCAATAATTCAATTAAATTAACAATTGAAAGAAAAAATGTGCACTGATAAAGATGAATGAAAAAAGGCGAGAAAAAAGGCAAGGAAAAAGGCGAGAAAGCGAGAGTAAAAAAGACGAAAAGTCGAGAAAGCGAGGAAAATTGTCCTCGCTTTTTTCCTCGCTTTCTCACATTTCGCGGGAAATTGACCAATGCTCTTTTGTTTTCCATCCCTCGAGAGATCTTGAACTTGCACAACTTCTTGTAAACGGGGTCTCAGTTTATCGTACAATCCAAACGACGGTAACACTTGACTACAGCTGTAAAATTGTACTCACTGAAATCATAAGGAAATTTAAAGTAATCGTCTCTCCATTTTCTCCTGTACTTCCGGTGTATTTCATAGTCATATCTAACATCGGTTGCTTCATACTCGGTTCGATCTGGAACACAAAACGTACAACGGCCATAACGATAATGGCAACGAATACCATAGGTGATAATGACAACGATGACCATTTATGATAATGGCAACGATGACCATTGATGATAATGACAACGATGCCCATTGATGATAATGACAACGATGACCATTGATGATAATGACAACGATGACCATTGATGATAATGACGACGATGATCATTGATGATAATGACGACGATGACCATTGATGATAATGAAGACGATGACCATTGATGATAATGGCGACGATGACCATTGATGATAATGACAATGATGACCATTGATGATAATGAAGACGATGACCATTGATGATAATGACAATGATGACCATTGATGATAATGAAGACGATGACCATTGATGATAATGGCGACAATGACCATTGATGATAATGACAACGATAATGAAAATAAATGATAATGAGGACAATGACCATTGATGACAATGGCAACGATGTCGATGCAAGCGCGAATCCTTTAAAGGTGGAAAATTCAATGAGTTTGAATGCAGATAAAAACAACGTTATCGTCAAGTTGGCCAATAGGAGTGGTAAGATAACGACGTTATTATTGTTATAAACAATTCAAAACACACAAAAAACATTTAATGAATAAATGCATTGATAAAATCTCTAAAATGTCTCAATATCTACTACTGTCTCACTCATTTTCAAAACCTTTACCATGTTTCAGTAGAAATCGGTTTGCTTATCTTCCCTACGATCCCACAATGCATAATCGTAACTCCGAAGTGGCTTATTACGACAACGTCGCGGATGAGCTGCTTCTTCTGATATTGATGATAAAGATGTCGATGATTATAACGATGGTGATGTCGATGACGAAGACAAAGATGATAATTATGACGATAATGACAATGATGCCTTGGTCGATGATACTGATGATGATGAAGTCGATGCTGCCGATCCCGACGTTGACGTCCATGGCGATAACGATGATGATAAATGACCCAAACAACGACGTCGCCGCTGCTGATAATGACGTAGATGATGACGATAATGAAGATGATCTAGTTATTCCAAATGTCTTACCACTTGTCTTTCGGAAAATATTATCACCATGAGAGCAATCTGGGCAACAATCAATAAAACCATGAGAATGATGTACTGAAAACAGAATGACAAAACCAGAATAAGAACATATCAATCCCTTAAAGATCGACCTTTGGAATGTCGATTTGTCTATAAAACAGCGTGAGGTCAAGCTCGGTTTAAAATCCCTTTTTGGTTATATTTTTTAGTGGTTATGGTGGCAAAGAAGCAAATACTGGTCTGGACGGACTATTGATGACTAAGTTCGGTTGGAAACATGAGATCCTGCAGTAAGATGAGAACAAATAAGCTGAAGTATATATATCTAATTCAATCAGATTGGTCAAAACACTTACCACGATCAGAACGCATTTCACCTTACAACATGCCCCGATAATACCCAGTAAAGCCATAATAAAGAAAAAGGCACCCAAACCAATGAGAATATAGGCGAATAGTTGTATTATGCTTAACAATCGATCGGCTGTAAACGTGACATCAGTTGCTTGTCCGGATATACTGCCTTCAAATGCACTGGTAGCTGCTGCGAGTACATAATCTAATGCTGGTGTATAGGCAAATACTAAAATACCCAATAATAGCAACACAAAACCAATAATCTGCAAGAATATAAGAATAATAATAATGATAATGATAATGATGATTTTAATAATAACAATGATTTTTTTGATTATTTTATCAGGTTATACATCTAAAAGGCAGTTATTTTACATTCAACAATAACAACTGTTGAGGCTGAATTCAAATTGCGGCAACTCTGTGGTGGAGTCATGGTTGCAAATCACTCATGAAGCGTCTGAGCCGATTCTCGCAAGAAAATTGTCAAAAAATTGAATTGATTTGGTGCACACATTTTATGGTGAAAAAACGTATAAAACCATATTTTTAATTTGTTAGAAATAAAATGGGGGTACAATTGGGGGTGCAAACAATTTTGTTAGGTTGGCAATTTCCCCAGCCCCTTGTATCCGCACTGATGCCGCCACTGTCCCAAACTGGGCATATGTCGTTTGTGAATGTACTAAAGTTTCGTCGAAAAGTGCCCATGCTTTGACATGAAAGTGAATAAAATAAAGAAGTACTTACTAGAAACAGAATGTTGAGAGTGACGAGTAAAACCCGCCCACAATTCGATACACAATTATTGCTACCCATTTTTACTTCCCTTGGCTACGTCTATCTGAAAGGCAAAGTTAAAACTAGTTTAAGTTGGAAACCAGGTCATGGAGGGATAGACATATACTTCCAAATGTCAGGGAAAATCAGCATATATTAGAAAAAGCAGGTTAAGACTACTTGAAGGGCGATAATCGAAATTTCGGGGTAGATTTGAGTTTTTTTAAATATTAAAAAAAAATTAAAATTTTTAATCCGATTTAGAAACAATTAATATAATTCTAGTATGCCTATATTCGCTTCATTGGCCTGTCTCCTTGCTATTTCATTCCGAACCACACAAAATACATTTCAATATTTACCATTCTTTTCCAAGTTTACATTAAACATATCACAATACAGTCCTTACAATTCCTGTTTTGATCAATTTTAAAACGTGTTTTAGAATAGCGCGGTAGATAATCACCTTGTCTTAAGACTTAACATTGTCTACTTTCATTCACTGTTAAAACTTTACAGTTAATTATACAGAATATCGTTGGCAGCTAATTCATATGATATAGATTTTATTATTTAGTGCCGGCCGCAGTATGTATACATAAAAGACAGCTGGAGAAAATCTGTGGAAGAAAAATCGAATCTCAAAGATGACAAGATTTTGATGTGCAACTACTTAAATAAAGATAGAGGACAATATTCCATTATAATTAATTTAATAAGAAATGGTTTTTCTGCAAATTGAGTCTGGCTAATGTGTAGATTAATGATAATGCGCAATATCCTTAACACAGAATGAAAATACTCGTGTTCGTTAGTCCAATAAGATGCACATATGTAGGACATAAAACTCCCTTATACTCCATCGGCTCAGTAACGTATTGATACGTGGAGGTCGAATATCAAATTTCTTAGAGTGTAGTTGATCGATCGATAATTGGAATAAGTATATTGATTTTGATATTGAACCAGTTTGAATTCTTATCTGACAGTAACAAAGACAAGACTGGGACCACCAGTACATACAACGTGACAGATATTGGAAAAATACTATCTTCACAATGTCAAGCTATTACGAACTTCGTCTTATACCTTGACTGCAATAGCCTTATTACATTATTCTTGATCACCGAATGCAGCGATTTAATTGAATTGTACGCTAGCGAATATAGACAATCAGAGTCTTGGACAGAAATACCGTAAACATTATTGTATATAGACTTCCTGTCATGAGCTCTGATTGACGTGTTCGCTAGCACATAATCCAATCAAATCACTGCATTTACATACTTCCATGATACAAGAATAGTGGCTTTTAAAGTCAAGATATAAGACGAAGTTCGCAATAGTTTGACATTGTGAAGATGACAAAAGAATATCCAGTGTATAGTACAACACTAACTGTAGTTCTTACACACCCAATTAATTTAGATTTTGTATTTTGCGCATTACACATTATTGAAAAGGTAAGTATATGAGCACCACATCACATAATATATTATGTAAAATCATATAACACACACACCATCAATAGCATTAGCACTAAGATAAAACATCTATTATACAAACAATGGGAAGGTTCCGGGGCGATAGTAAGCGTCCACTGTATCGTAGGCCTACGGTCTCCAATGTGGTATTTCATAGACTTCCAATGATTTTGCAGTGTTGATAGGTAAAATTTATTATATATGTTCATATATTCCTTGTCATGAAGTTTTAATAATTTATAGTCTACATGTATATTATGATTAAACTACCTTACAACAGGGATCAAAGCGCTTCACGTATTTATCTGATATATTTGATCTCATACCTGCAAGAGCACTACACTCCAAATTAATTTTCAAACAGATTTTTATTTTTATTTTTGAGCATTACACATTGTATTAAGAAAAGTGCGGGATATATGAGACAATATTCAAGGCACATAAAAACTTTCGAATGTTTTCACCCCTGGGGGTGTGGGACTGGGGTGTCAAGGGTGTGGCCAACTGGTGTAGGAAAAAGAATTTATTTTGAGTTGAGAGAGCACCTCACATTATCACATGCCGCAAATGTGGATGAAACAAATTTGTGTACCCCCACTAGTTATATCAGGGATCAAAGTGCACCAGAAATTATAATATATGGGTCTGTTTGATCTCTTACCTGCCGGATCAGAGAAAGTTTAAAGTAATCTATCAGTGTATTTATCAGCGCAATGTCGTAATGACCTTATTTACTTCAAAAGAATTACCTTTATTTGAATCTGGCAATGTACTTGGGGAAATTTCCCAAGGTTTTATTGCCAATCAGATCTTGTGAAATCTAACCCCATTTATTTCGAATATATCGATTAATATGTTGCCTATAGTCCGAAAACTCGGATTTTGATATTAAGGAACTGAATGCAGTTTTTGAGTACGAATGTTTTTGACTAGCTGGTATTATTATGGTTTATTTAACAACAGTCCTAGAGATATCTGTCGTGTATAGAAAGGCTAGTTGGAGTATGTTTCGGACTAACAAGTCTAATGGCTTTTTTTGTGAGAACTGTACTCGGGCACAGACAAATGTTTTTCTGATCCATGCTGTACGATACATCAACTAACAGTTTTGTGTGGAAAGGCTATACTGTGAGTATATTTCGGACTAGCTGTTTGTTTGGTAACAGTATCAAAGGCACTATTGAAATCACATGACAATAGTTTCTAATCGTGAAAGAAAGTTCTAATCACTAGCCAATATGGACAGCTTTATCTCTATGATATATATTGTTTGATGTTGTCAATAGTGAAAATGTTCCTTTCAATAATGTGACCATCGATATTGGTATAATTTGCCCTTATCTGTATAATTATTATTGATTTGAAAACATAACTTTAGGTTGAACATTGGTGTAGCAAATCGGTAGCAATTAGAAATATTCCAGTTCAGACTTCAGATCGATCTTGCCAATTCCTTTAAGTTATTTAGAGTTGCCGCATATTTCTAGGTTTTGTAGAAAATTCTCACGAATAATATACATTTTGAATTGATTTGCAAATCGTCGTGATAAATTGTAATTTTGGCTAATCATAGGAATATTGGATCGTCGCAAACTGCAAAGGATGCTACTTAAATTGAGCCCTGGGATGCATACCATTTTACTTTAAGGCCTAAAGACAAATCACACCAACCGTATCTCTGTTATACAATGATTAATGATTCGACGTCATTGGTATATAGTTGTCTTTTCATACCACAATGACAACAGACCTGAATTCTTCTACCCTAGCGACACACCAGGAACAATATTATAAACTTCTAAACCTTAGAGCAAGTATTGTATTTCATCAAGTGGGTCTGTTATAATGTTATTTCCTACGTAAAAGCTACCCGTTGTTATTGACTTATTTAGAATAAACGGTTATGAAATGAATGCTTCTCTGCTTTTATTTGGGACAATGGCAAAACCAATAGGAATATTTTGAAGAGAAATCAGCATTCCCCTATTCTGTTTAACTTTTTAACATATCTCAAACGTACAGTCTTTAACACACTGGCCTCGGTACATTTTCTAAGATTTTAATTTTATATCATTGATTTCTTAAATGACTGGTGCTGTTTGCTCCCAAGACATTTCTATGGCCCACATTCGAGCCTTTCGCCTAAAATGCTTAATATAGGGGACGAAAATTGTGAACAACATCAAAATTGAATCATCCGAATCAGCTCTTTAAATTGTAAAGGGAGGATTTATCATCAAATTTATTCTTTATTTATAGAAAAAGACTCTTTGACTAAAGAGTGTAAGGTATGTCAATATACTAATAATATGATAATAAACGTACGCCTTATAATAAGCCAGGTAATGTTTGATTCAGATTGGTCATAGTAAATAAACTGACCACACCTCGTCCACTATAGGTGATAAACGTTTAATAAAGGCACGATCATATATCATTATCTCTTTATTGAAATGCCTACATTTACTCTCGTTCCTTTTTAAGCCACTTTGAGATATATATATATATATATATATATAGTTTTTGATAAACAAACTTTTAAAACGTAATATTATGTTTAGATATATTTAAACAGAACCGAACACCAGTAACAACATGCTTCAGGCTCTGTTTTAATATTTTATATCGCTTTATAATTGATGTATTAAGCACAATTTAAACAGTGAAAATATTACTATTAAAGATGAACTTTGAAATATACAACTACTCATCGATATTCAACTTGGATTTTAGCTTACATCGCTAGCTCTTATGGGCATTCCTTTTCAGATATTCTAATAGTTTTAGTACATGTAACCCTCTGTGTATTTACAGTCTTTTTAAATATACACTTCGTAATAATGTAAACTGCTATAAAGATAGAAGTCTTAGGATAGGATATACAATTTATATTTTTAAGTACATACAATTTTTCATAAGACATTTTTGGGATGAACATGGATGACTTGCAACCAATTGGTATATCTGATTTTTAGATGTTTTTTATTCCTTTTACAAACCAGTACGAGTCCTTTAACGTTATTAGTGATGACAATTTACATTTGCTGACATCTTCAAACTTGACGTAGTTAACTGTAGGCTAAATTTACACATTTGTATTTAAAACGGTACTATGTTTTATTAAAATTGAGTACGTCTGATGAAGGTAGTATTTTGAAAGCGGCTATATAAGTAGATAAGTATTTACTTACTTGTGAAGTCTAAATGGTTAAGTTAAAGTCAAGTGTAGTTAAATTATTATATAGAAAATTTTTCGTGTAACCTGGTCTTTGTCATCTTTACGGTGGCTTGATTAGGACATTTTTATTCTTTAGAGATAAAATTTGCCCTTGTCCCCGTTTCTCGAATTAATCGTAGGATAAATTTTTTGTCGTAAGTGTGGAATTTCTCAATGAAAAATTACAGTTACGATAATTTTCATTTTACGATTTTTTGAGAAGTTCTTCTTAAAGTTAAAGGGACAGGTTTTTTGATCAATCATTCTTTAGTCTCAGAAACAGGGTTTCTTTTAGCTGATCTAATGAGTAATAGTGTGCACAGCTCACCGTCGAAATT